AGCGGCAGCGGGATGTTGGCCATGATGAAGAGCAGGAACGGCGTGATCTCGGGGATGTTGCTGGTCAGCGTGTAGGCGATCGACTTCTTCAGGTTGTCAAAAATCAACCTCCCTGCTCACGGGGACCGACACCCAGCGTCAGCGGCGCCCCCAAAACCGCCCGCTTTCACCCCAAAACAACCCGACCCCGACCTTCCTCGACGCCGGTGACGATGGAGGCGAAGTTGTCGTCCAGCAGGATCATGTCGGCCGCGTTCTTGGCGGCGTCGGAGCCGGCGATGCCCATGGCCACGCCGATGTCGGCCTTCTTCAGCGCCGGCGAGTCGTTGACGCCGTCGCCCGTCACCGCCACGATGGCGCCCTGGGGAAAAATGGCGGGATTTGGGGGCGAGAATTGGGAAAAATTGGATTTGGGGATGTTGGGGGACATTGGGGGGATTGGGGACATCAGGGACGTTGGGGACGTTGGTGACGTTTGGAAAAAAAATGGCGAAATTTAGGGAAAAATTGGAAAAAATTAGATTTGGGGACATTTGGGACATTGGGGACATTGGGGACATTGAGGACATTGGGGGACGTTGAGGGGATTGGGGACATTTGGGATGGGAAAAACCCAAAAATTGGGAAAAGTCGGAAAAAACAAAAAAAATTGGGTGAAAAATGGGCGAAAAATGGGGAAAAAATGAGGGAAAAGGGGGGAAATATTGGGGAAAATATTGGGGAAAATATTGGGGAAAAACGGGGACATTGGGGACATTGGGGACATGGAGAAAAAATGGGGAAATTTGGGGAAATTAGGGAAAAATGGGAAAAAACCCCAAAATTGGCAAAAATCGGGAAAAACAAAAAAAAAATTGGGGGAAAAACGGGCGAAAAATGGGAAAAAAATGGGGGAAAATGGGGAAAATATTGGGGAAAAACGGGGACATTGGGGACATTGGGGACATGGAGAAAAAATGGGGAAATTTGGGGAAATTAGGGGAAAAAATGGGAAAAAAACCCAAAATTGGGAAAAATCAGGAAAAACAAAAAAGAAATTTGGTGAAAAATGAGCGAAAAATGGGGAAAAAATGGGGGAAAATGGGAAAGTGTTGGGGGAAAATGGGGGACATTGGGGACATTGAGAAAAATTGGGAATTTGGGGGAAAAAACGGAAAAAAAACCCAAAATTGGGAAAAATCAGGAAAAACAAAAAAGAAATTTGGTGAAAAATGAGCGAAAAATGGGGAAAAAATGGGGGAAAATGGGAAAGTGTTGGGGGAAAATGGGGGACATTGGGGACATTGAGAAAAAATGGGGAATTTGGGGGAAAAAACGGAAAAAAAACCCAAAATTGGGAAAAATCAGGAAAAACAAAAAAGAAATTTGGTGAAAAATGAGCGAAAAATGGGGAAAAAATGGGGGAAAATGGGAAAGTGTTGGGGGAAAATGGGGGACATTGGGGACATTGAGAAAAAATGGGGAATTTGGGGGAAAAAACGGAAAAAAAACCCAAAATTGGGTGGAAATCAGTGGAAAAAATGGGAAAAAATGGAGGGAAATGGGGAGGGGGGACGGGGCAATTTTTGGGGACATTTGGGGACATTTGGGGGGGTCACTTTCGGGTCCCAGGATCACTTTTGGGGTCCCAGGGTCAGTTTTGAGGTGCGGGGTCACTTTCGGGTCCCAGGATCACTTTTGGGGTCCCAGGGCAGTTTTGGGGTGCCGGGTCAGTTTTGGGGTCCCGTTTTGGGGTCCCAGGGTCAGTTTTGGGATCCCGGGTCGGTTTCGGGGTGCGGGGTCAGTTTTGGGGTCCCGTTTTGGGGTCCCAGGGGCAGTTTTGGGGTGCGGGGTCAGTTTTGGGGTCCCGGGTCAGTTTTGGGGTCCCGTTTTGGGGTCCTGGATCACTTTTGGGGTGCGGGGTCAGTTTTGGGGTCCCGGGTCAGTTTTGGGGTCCCACCTGGCGCTGGCAGCCCTCGACGATGATGAGTTTCTGCTGGGGCGAGGTGCGCGCGAAGACGATCTCGGTGTGGTTCTGCAGGATCTCGTCGATCTGCTCCGAGCTCATGTCCTTCAGGTCCGTGCCGTGGATCACGCACGCCTTGGCGTCCCTGCGGGCCCGAAAACGGCCGGATTTACCCCAAAAATGAAGTGGGACCCGGAAAGGGCTCGGGAGCCCCGAAAACGGCAGGATTTACACAAAAAACGATGGGATTTACACCAAAAATGATGGGATTTGCACCAAAAACAAGGGGATTTATACCAAAAACAAAACAGGAACCCTAAACCGCCAGGATTTGTCCCAAAAAGATGGGATTTACCCCAAAAACGACGGGATTTACCCCGAAAACAGCACAGAAACCAAGAATCGGCTCAGGAGCCCCGAAAACGGCCGGGTTCACCCGAAAAACGAAGCGGGAACCCGGAAACGGCTCGGGAGCCCTGAAAATGGTGGGGTTTACACCAAAAATGGCAGGATTTACACCAAAAATGATGGGATTTACCCCAAAAACAGCAGGATTTATCACAAAAACAGCACAGGAACCACAAAAAATGGCTGAGAAACCCCAAAAGTGGCACAGAGACCCCAAGAGTGGGTGGGGCACCACAAAAGCTCACCTGGGGTCACCTGGGGCTCACCTGGGGTTCCCCTGGCTCACAGGTGTGTTCAGGTGTGTCTCACCTGTCCGTGTCTCACCTGGGGTTCACCTGGCTCACAGGTATGTTCAGCCGTGTCTCACCTGGCTCACCTGGGGTTCACCTGGCTCACAGGTGTGTTCAGGTGTGTCTCACCTGGCTCACCTGGGGTTCACCTGGCTCACCTGGGGTTCACCTGGCTCACAGGTATGTTCAGGTGTGTCTCACCTGGCTCACCTGGGGTTCACCTGGCTCACAGGTGTGTTCAGGTGTGTCTCACCTGGCTCACCTGGGGTTCACCTGGCTCACAGGTATGTTCAGCCGTGTCTCACCTGTCCGTGTCTCACCTGGGGTTCACCTGGCTGACAGGTATGTTCAGCCGCGCCGCGATGTCCTCCACGGTCTCGTTGCCCTCGGAGATGATGCCGACGCCCTTGGCGATGGCCTTGGCCGTGATCGGGTGGTCCCCGGTCACCATGATCACCTGGGCAGGGGGATCCGGGGTCACGCCGGGCTCGGGGAGGGGTCCCGGGGGGTTTGGGGGAGATTTGGGGCGTTTTGGGGGGGATTTTGGGGG